GGGCCCTTGAAGAAAGATAAATTAAACGTAGGGGTAGTTAGAGTTGGTCTCACTTGAAATCCTATCATTGTCCATCAAACGTTTCAAAATAAACAAGCCAACTATGAAGAATTGGTCTAATCCAGATGACTCCATACACTTCTAGCTAGCCATCACTTGAGATGTGATCAACACAACTTCACACTAAATCTATACCATGGTTTCAAGAAAATAATTCTTTAGCTTGGATGGCTTCTTCAAGAACTTGCCTATCTCTGCCTCAATAAATGACTTCAATACTCTTATCTTAGAGGGACACTCAACCAACCTCTTCCATACTTTCTTTTCCATCATTGTGATGGGGGAACTTGAAGTTGCTATAAAAACCTCAAGGGATTGGCCCTTTGATGTAAAATTCAACTCCTTCCTAGCATCGATTCTTGGAAAGCTCAATAGTGTTCTCCATATTACCTCAGCCAGAGCCTAGGAAAGGGTCCTTCTGTCATCCTTAAACACCATTGAGTTCACTTTAATCAATACAATGGGTGATGGAGCAACATAAACTAGCTCTTTAGTGGCAAGAGAAGGTTCCATTGCAAGAACTTAGACATGTTTGTATCCTCACCATTTTTTACAACAATATCTAAGCAAACAAGTTGATCAATAGAGGGTTCACCATAAAAAAAAAACTCACTCATTGTAATGAAAAAATTGTAAATTTTTTTCTCTCAAATTTTACTTCAATAATGAACTATTTAAAATGCAAAATAAAAGGTCAGCACCAACCTTTTGTGTCATCATAATTCTCTAAATGTCATGAGAGGCCACTCAAGCCCTTAAATGCATTCAAAATGAGTCTGAGAATGATGGAGGTCGATCAACTAACACCTTAAAAGCATGTTCATATTGCTTCTTCCTCAAACCTAAGTCTCTTCTTCTTCTTCTTCTCCAAAGAACCTTCAACTTCTCTTATCTTGTTGAATAATTTGTTAACCATGTTACCATCCATCAAATCAATCTTACAGTTTAGAATTTTCATTATCTCATAGGGAGTAAAAACTCTAACAAAAATAGACTTTAGCAAAAGAAGTTGTGAGCCCCTAACACCACCAAAGATCCACATTTATAAAGTGGAGCAAAAAATATAAACAATAATTACCACATCATCTATTGCCTATGAGACAACTAGTTATTCATTTCTTATTTAATATTTTATTTATCTTAATTTTTTGCAACACACTTGTAAAGAAAAAAGAGAATGAGAGAGCTAAGTATATATGACCAAATATCCAATGACTTGATCAAGGCCTTTGAAATTCCAAGGTTAATCCTGAATGATCTCAAGTCAGCTCCATCCAAGTACCAACTCAGCATAACTACGAATAATGATTATGCCACTTGCTAGTTGACATTAAACCCTCACTAGCTTGCAACTCAGCTAGCGCGAATTAATAGCTCACTTAACTACTTGTAGCTCAGCTTTGCATGCAGCTACAAAATATGTCTCAATTTCCTATATTTTTTTTATTCTTTATCATATAATCCTCTTAATTATATACTATGGTCAAAGCACCTCAAATTATAAATAAAAGGTAAAAATTTAAGAAAAAATAATGTGTTAATTTCAAGGATACAATAAGAATTTATACTAAGACCAATTCTGAAAATCTCTCTCTCTCCCTCTCCCTCTCCCTCTCTCCCCTCCCCTCAAATGAACTAATGTAGGTGGTGTGCCTAAGGACAACTTTGGATTCAATAATATGAATATATATCTCCAATCATAAGAAAGAAAAAAAAAACACACACACACACAAACTAAAATAATGTGTACAAAACCATTGTATCATTCTTCATACAAGGTGCAATTTGGTTTAATTCACTTAGCAGGCACTTTAATCCAGCCATTAACAAAGGCTATGGCTAATATTACAAACGGAGTAGACATGCCAAGGATAATGATATAAGGCAATGGAGTCTTCATTGGATTCTCTCCTTCCTTCTCGCCCGCTGTCTGCCAATATCTGCACTTCATATCAGAGGTCCTGAACCATGTTATTTTATGCCAACATCTCTTGGTTTGTATTATTTAAAAATGTTAATAATATAATATCAATACAAACAACTTAAGACTAAAAATATAATACATTGTTACAGAACTTTTCCGTCAAACTCTCTCAATTTAGTCGGAAAATATATGCGTAAGACCTAAGATAGTATGCAGCGCTGCGTACATCTGGAGGTTATTTAGAGAGTATAGGGATGTTATATCCACGTTATACCCCTTGTAATCTCCCTATAACCTACAAATAAGTTTCGCGCAGCACTGCGTATGCCTTACGTACACAAATATTTTCCCAATTAATCTTAAGGTTCAATTTTATAGAAAAAAAGTTTAAGAACTCACTGCTCTGGTTCTTCTTCTCTAGTAATAAACTTCTTCTCCGGACGTTTTATTTCTCCATCTCCACCTGAAAATTAATTTAGTGAATTTGTTTCTTTTTTATACTCATTTATATGTGTTATAGCTAATCATGAATCATAAATTACCTTAAGGAAATTACCTAAATTTGCAGGAACTCTGGATTTTGATCTTCTGTTTCTGGTTGGAATGACAAACGATGAAGAGGGCAGGTAGGATGTTTTGGGTTGGAGAACAAATTTCAGATTGCAGGGGAATGAAACAGCTGCCTGAACCATTTCCGTTGACTGGAAGAAAGAGAGAGGGAGAGAAGCCTTACGAGAGCCACGTCTCTCAAACTTAGAGAGGAAATAGATAAGATAGGGCTATTTTTATTGGCCCTGATCCTTCTGATTGGTCCTGCTTAAGCATGACTGGGTGTATGAGAAAATATTGCATGAGGAAACAAGACGTAAGTTATGTCTGGACAACGAACGCGACGCACCTAAGATTTTTTTTCTCCATCAGTCCTTCCGGTGTATCTAGGGCTGTCAAAAAGGCTTGTTGTTCCCGAACACGAACAACACGAACAAAGATTTGTTCGTTCGTGTTCGGCTCGTTTTGGCTTTGATGAGTAATATTTTAAAAAAAATCTAATTGACTACAAGGCTATAAAGATTTATAATCAATTATAAGTATTAATTAATAAAATAGAATAAAAATTATTAAATTAGATTCAAATGATTTTTTAATATAAATTTTTAATATAAACAATAATTTTTAAATTTTGCCTTAATCCTTAACATCATATGGCTGCCTGATTAGGGTTGTCAAAACGACTCTTTGTTCGTGAATGACTCGTGTTCGACTCGCTAAATAAACGAGCTGAACACGAACACACCTTTTTGAGCAAAAATATAAACGAGCCAAACACGAGTGAGCCCAGGTTAGGTGTATCACGTCTGTTGTACGGACACAGCTTACGTCCAGACTCCAGACTCGTTATTTTTTCCACAATCCATGTACAACAAAACACAAAATCCAACCTAATAACGGACAACTAAAGGCACTAACAATAAATCAAATTATAAATAAAAGAACCAGAAGAGATTGAAAACAACAAAAAAAAATCAACTGAAGAAATCATAAAAGTAATTTTTCTTCTCAAACCTTTCAGCAATAGAGTGAAACGAAACCAATAATACGCATAACTCTAAATGGTAAACTTAATAATAGAATTTTACCCACAACAGATTAAAAACATTGTGGTGAGCTTTTCAATGTAAAATTACACTACTTAAAGCTAACTCTTATAATAAATTAAGAGTATTCTCTTTATAGCTCTTAGATGGGATACGTAGTAGAACTTGTTAATGATCAAAATCCCCATGTATTACTATAATTTCTCAACATAGTTGAATGCAAACAATGATATCTCTCATTTAAGAGTAAAAAAATTGCATCATGTTAGTGTAGAGCTTTTTATTCTATACATGACTTCAATTGACATGTCTGGGGGTCTAAAATACTACGTGATGACTATTTTGATCTAGATAGCATTATAAGTCAAGTTGATGGAATTCATATATTTTGGTTATCATATTCTACTCATTTCATAAGTCCTTAAATCGATAAGGATTTGTAGGTCATGCGCCTTTCTAGTATACTACATAGAAATCAC